CCGGCACCGGGCACCGGGCCCGGGGCAGCCGGCGGCGACCAGAGCCGGCCGGGCTTGTCCGAGGGGGCGGCGGGGGCAGAGCCACCCCCGGGTGATGGAGGGAGCTGGAAGGGGAAGCACAGACCCTGGCGTGGGGGCTGGACGTGCCTAACCTCTTGCAGGGGGTGCGGGGAGCTTTGTCCCCACTCAAGGACAGCACCAGGTCCCGGTGGCTTTTGCTGCCACCTGCCCAGTCCCCTCTGCCTCAGGTGCTGGCCCGTGTCCCCCCCTCTGCATCTTGGTGTCCAGGCCAACCCGACCCATGTGGGGCTGCATCACCCCAGCCCGAGGCTGCCGTGCAGGGGGGCACTGGGTGCTGCAGAGGGGCAGCCCGTCACCCAAACACCCTCCTGCCCCAAAAAGAAACCTCAGTGCCCACATCCGTTTGGGCTGGTGGCAACCACTTCGCAGCAGGTCCAAGGCACGGTGGCAGCTGAAGGGCAATCCCAAAATCCTGTCCCAGCTCATCCCTGCAGGAACACGCAGCGCTGCCGGGCCCAGGGCCGTGTTTTGTGGGCAGCCGGCACCAGGCCTGGTTCGGTTCCCCGGGCTGCAGCCCTGGGAACACGCAGCTACGCAGGGCTGCGGTGATGCTGTTCTGAAAGCCAAGTCTCGCACCGACACACTGGAACTAATCTGTCTTCCGAACGAGTCCTTAAAAATATCCTGCATTTGCTGACACTGGAACTCGGCTTCCGACACTTTTCCAAGCGCCTGGGCCTCGGGCCAGATGTCGATGCCGGCGGATAAAAAGGCCACCCAGCTCCTGTGCTCCCCTCGACCGCAGAGCGCTGGGGAGCAACGCGGAGCTGCCCCTGCCCTGCCCGCGGCCGAGCTGCTCTCTGCAGTTTGGACGCCAGGAAGGCGCTCGCGCCGTCCCGTCCCTGGCCCTGCTCGGCTCAGCGCGGCTTGTGCCAGCGCTGCCTCCCCTTGTCCTCGCGCGCCGGGACGAGCGCGGCAGCTTGCAGCTCCCGGGAGCGTTGGGAAGGCTCCAGGATAGTTCCTATGAAGCCCCAAACCTGGGAGCGGGCTCTGTCCTGCCTTGTGCTGCAGCAAGGAGCCCCAGCTGGGATGGAGCCGGAGCCACCCTCCCTCCTGTCACCCGCTACCGGCTCTTGGCCGAGGCCACTTCACGGTCCCGGCACGGCGGGAGCACCACGGGCGCTCCGGGTGGCCGAGCGGCCCCGGGAGACGCTGTCCCTCGGCGCAGGCCCCGCGCGTGTGTCTGCCTGCGGCACACGCTGTTGTTACCAGCTGACAGCTCTTGGCGAAACGGCCTTTGTGATTCAGTCGGGTGTTTATCCCAGCCAGCAGCCCGGCCCAGCGTGGGTTTCCATGGAAAACTTCCATCAAAAACAAGGAGGAAAGGAGCTACAGCAGGAGTGACTCAGCCACAACTGGAAGCTTCTGCGGGTGAAGTGAGCAGGGAGGGGGGGCGATCCCACCGGCCCCGCTCCGGCCGCAGGGTCCCGCTGCCCAGCGCGTTGCCGGCTGCGGCGCCTTCCCGAGCGTCCCCTCCCCAGCGATC